GGGGGAACCCATTGCGGCCCCCGACGAGCAGCCGGAGCCGGGAGTTACACGAACGCCCTGAACGGCCACTTCAAGCTGAGGGCTTCGCCTCGCCGTGTTTTTACACGCCTTAATTGTTCGCTAATAATGCGGGGTTTGGGAGAAGCACGTGGGAAGTAAAGGGCAGCCTGGAAAGAAGAAGAAAAAAAAAAAAAAGAAAAAAAAGAAAAACCAACAAAAACCCCAAAGCAACCCCACGAGCCGGCTCGGGTGCTATCAGCTTTTCTCTCTGTACGGAGTCAAAAGGCTTCACGTGGAAGCGGCTGCTCTGTGAAAGCTCGGGGGATGTGAGAGGGGTCTGGCTGCAGAGAGAGGTCGGCGGGTCAGGGAGATAACGCGCTGCCAGCCTCCAGGACACGGCTTGGAATGTCCCCGTGCGTGTCTGTTTGCTTTGGTGCGGCGTGCGAGGGGCTGAGGGTTCGGGGTTTCTTTACAAGAAGCCGCAAAAAAAGGAGTTTTCGATTTTTTTCTGCTTCGTTTCCCCACGATTCAATCCACCCCCGGCGTTCCCGAAGTTTCCATCACTGATCCTTCCGGCCCGGTGCCCCCGGAGCTCCCGGCCCTGTTCGGCTGCGGCCCGACCCGAGGTGCGGTGGCGAGCGGCCAGCAGCGACGTGCCCGCAGGGAGCGATGCGTCCGCAGGGAACCACCTCTGCTCCCCCCCCTCCCTCCCTCCCTCCCTCCCTCCTTGCCTCCCTCTTCCTTCTGCTGGAGCCCCGAGGAAATGACCACAACTCATCCTTCCCCGAAACAACAAACTGATCCATCCGTCTGTCCATCATCCATCCGTCCATCCATCCATCCGTCCCTCAGCCCCTCACAAGGGCACGGCGTAGCAGCAGCGCTCATCACTTGTGCGCTCCCCCCGCGGCTCTCCCCGAGTCCCGCAGGAAAACCCTGGGGTGGGACCCCCGTGTGGGACCCCCGCCCTCCCCCACACCCTGGGTGCTGCCCACCGGGACACGCAGCCCTGCGGCTCTGAGCGCTGCGTGCATTCCCCGTGCACACGGCTGATGAACTTCAAGCAACTCTTCTTTCTTTTCTTTCTCTCTCTTTTTTTTTTTCCCTCTCCTTTCTTCTTCTCTTTCTTTTCTGTTTTTATTTTTGTTCTCCTTTCTCTCAAGCCCTCTCTCTCTGCCTGCTCAAAACTCTCCCCCGTGCAACCCTGCAGCCCGGGGCGAGGGTGGAGGCTGAATGATCCCCGCTTCCAAGATTTTCCGAACAATCCTTAAAGAAGGAAACCTTTCTCTCGAAGTCTCTTTGATCTACGAGGCCTGGCGCGCTGTGAGCCCGAGTGCGTGAGGGGCCCGTCGGCTGCGGGAGCCCCCCCACCCGGGACATGAAAGGAAAAAAAAGGGCGGCCAGAGTACGGGGATCGACCGAAGGGCTCGAATATTTCATATTCCTGCTAGCTGTCAAGTCCAAAAGCAACAACCCGCCTCCCGTCGGCTGTTTGCAGAGGGCAGCGGAGTGTGTGCGCGCGAGGGGCCGGAGCGCACCGTGCACCGCGGCCGGGAGAGGGGAAGAGGGCCGTAAATTTGCACTTGCAATCAATCAATAATTAACTAATAACAGAGCGTGGACCGAGAGGTCCCGGCAGGACGGCGGCGGGAGCGGCCAGATCCCGTAGAGATGGCTTCTGTTCCTCTCCCATCGCCCCACACCCCCATCCCCGAGCTGCTCCGGCCCCACTGCCCCCTCTCCGGGGCCGATCCCACCGTTTCAGCCCCGCTTTCCCATAGACTTTGCACCGGCGGCCAAAATTCCTTGAGTAAAACCTGGCAAAACCTGCCACGAGATCCGCTGCCCGACGAGGGAGGAAGGGCAATTCTTCCCCCCCCTCCCCCCATCTCCCCACGGGACCCCGATCCCCGTTGGGTGTCCCCGCGTTCCCCACCCGAGGTCCCCTCGGGGCCGCCCCGCACTGCCCCGGCTGCCCAAGAGATGGCGCCGCCGCCCCGCCGGACCCCCCCGGCGCCGAGCCCCCCCCACCCAGCGCCGGGTCGCCTGCATCAGCCATAAAACCATTGAGGATATCAAGACAGGCGCCAGGTGAGTAATAGACAGGATAATCCAGAGAGATTGCTCGCTGTTTACCTCCATCCACAAGCGCCACAAGAGTTACTCATTAACGTTACTATATACAAATAAGATACACAAGAGATAAAGCCATTTGCAAGTCAGAGTTACACCTGCGGTACACGGATTTCTTGCAAGGGCATGGGGAGGGGGAGGTCAGCTTTAGGCTCGTGGAAGGGGGGGATGAATCAATCAGGCCGCACCCCTAGCGCCTAAAACACAACAGTGAGCGCCGGTCCGCCTGCAAAGCGGCTACCTGGTGCCTGCAAAGGGAGGAGGAGGAGGCTTGGTTGCTCAGGATCAGCGCTGAGTTTCCTCTCCGACTCCCAGAATCTATCTCCACCCCCCTCCCCCCCACACAGACACCACAACGGCCTCCCTTTGAGGGAGATTGCGGGGGGACAAGCAGCAAGGGAGGGAAAACAAGCAGGCGTTCGTGAAACCGAATGAATGAGAAGAACGATATGGAGGGGGGATAATAGTGTGGAGCTGAAAGGTGCCTTTTTGCCTGCTCTAAGGGGAGAAAGTTGAACCACGAGGCTGCGGGGTGATCATACGGCCACGGCGGTTGGTAGGGCCGCTGTGCTCCCCACCCGGGGCCGACAACCCCGGGGACAGCAGAGGATCTGGGTGACAAGCGACATCCATCTCGTGGGGATGCAGCCCGGAGCCTGCTTGTTTGAATTGCTGTTGTTTTGTTTTTGCCAGCCCCGACGCCACCTCTCCGTCCATAAAAGCCCCACCTCTCTCCGAGGCACATCGGCATACCGTGGCATTTCCCCAGCTCTCACCTTGGGCAGGCTGGGAAGTGGGGAGAGGGAACGAAAAATCCTGGGGGTGGGAGAGAGAAAAACTCAGTTCAAACCCCCAGCGACCTGGCAGGCTGTGTGTCCCGGGATTCAAATACACTCCTAAAAATGGGAACAATCCTCCGAAAAGCGGAGGATACGAAATGAACAGGGAAAATGCTCGAGGTGCGCGGGAGGGTCCCGCTGGGTGCCCGGCAGATGTGCTCAGCATCCCGTGACCCCCGGTGCTCAGGGGTACGGACTCCCCCCCCCCCCCGGCAGCCACTCTCAATCGAAGGTGGGGAAATGTCCCTTTCTGCCGGAATTTGCCCCCAAAACGAGCGGAGCTGGCCGGGCGAGGTGGCCGGGGGTAACAGCCAGGGTTCCCCCCCGCCCCGCACAGTTGGGCCCGGCGCAGCTGCTTTGAAAATAAGGGGGAAAATGCTCAGTGGTCGCGTTCCCCCTGAGCACTTCTTTCTCTCGCCGGCACAGGACCCAGAGGCCGAGGGGCAGGCAGAGCATAAAACAGGATCCGGGCTGGAAGTACATCCTTATAATATTTATTACTGGCGGAGGATGAATCACTTTCCAATATACGGGCCACTAACTGTTGAAGGGGGGGAAATCTCTTTAACGAGGAGGAATATATATGTTGTGCTTAGGGATGTGCTCACGGGCTGGCAGCGCTGCAGGCGGGGGCTGCCAGCTCCTCTCTCTGCTCCCGGTGACCGCCCAGCCCACGTCCCCTTCCAGCACCACGCCGCTCCAGAGCTTATCCTCAACGTATCCTCAGCCCCACAGCACAAAGGGGCGAACCCCAGGAGGACCCCCCCGGCCCCCCAGCCAGGTGCTGACTGGAAGGATCCATCCCCTGCTCCATAACCCCAGCGGTTCGGGAACTCTTTACCTGGAAACTTTTGAGGGAGGGTTCTGCATTAAATTTTAACCTATCTATTCTCCGATTCTTCACTTTTGTTTTATTAATTTATGACAGATAAAAGCATCGCTGAGCCGTTCTCATTAACTTTTCAAACGCCACTTAATCTCGTTCCATTAAAAGAGGTGACTTAGTACCCTCTGGATCCGCTTTAAAAGAAGTGTGTGTGTGTGGGGGGGGGGGGGGGGGGATGGAAAGGTACATTAAGCAGCTTGCTTAAACCGAGGGTTTCCCCGGCCGATCCGTGCGGGATCCTTCCCGATGAGCTGCGGGGATTGAGAGGAGCGGACAGCGGGGGGGGAGTGGGGGCAGCGCTCGGCCCCCACGGCCGGCAGGTGGGATGGAGGCACAGCACGGGACGCCCGGCACGTTTCAATAAAAATTTATTTGAAACTTCGGCGAGTTTTTAAAAGAGAGAGAGAAAAAAAGAAAGAAAAAAAAAAGAAAAAAAGAAAAAAAAAAAAAAAAGAAAATACAGAAAGAAAAATACAGGAAAAAGAAAGAAAGAAAAAAAACTTCTCGACATCGATATCGCACAAAATATGCCTTCATTTTTTTTTTTTTCCTTTGAACCAACACCTGACTTTCAAGCCAAGAAAATACGCACCCACTCAGACAAAGACAACAGCAAGCACAGTAGTAAAACTCCATCGCGTTTCGTGGCAGTTGTTGTTTTCTCCCTTTGACACACCAAAGAAACGGGAAAGAATAATGCAAAGTGAAGACATTCCTCCAGCCATCATCTTTTCTTTCGCCCGAGCCGCCTGCAGAAGCCCGTTGTCGCCGATGAACGTATAGAAAACCCCTTTTTTTTTTCATTTTTTTTTTTCCTCCCGTGGTCGAAATTTGAATCGGAAAGTAGCACTTGAACACCGGGGAGAACGAGGATTTAAAAAGCCATAGCGCGGCTTCGTCGCGGTTTCTCTCGCCGTTCTCTCTTTGCGAGCTCTTTGATGAACGCTGTTCGCTGCCCCTCTGCCTCTTCCAGCCGCGGCTCCTTGCGAGGGGTGAACAGAAAGCCAGGAGCTGAGCTCGGAACCCGCAGGTTCGGGCCGGGCTGCTCTGAGTCGGAGTTGGGATGTGGGGAGGGAGGGGGAGGTAAAGGAGAACCGACTTGAAATGAAAAGAGAAGAAAACAAAAGACAGCTGCAGCCGTATTTACAGAGATATGTACAACGTCAATAAATTAAAGTTTAATTTCGAGTATTCATATTCCACGTATTTACAAGAGTTATCAAATAATTACATAAATACTTTGCTTTAATAATAGTGTCCGCTTTTTTTCTTCTTCTCAGCGTGTTTAAACCTTGTTATTGCATATACAATGAAAGAGGGAAAGCTGTGATAAACCTACAGTCGAGCTACAGAGGTTTTCAGATAAAATAAATCCACTTCTTTTTTTTCTTTCCAGCTACACTTCTTATTGTTGTTGCTACGGGGAGGGTCTTTAAGGGAGAGGGAAGAGGGGTCTTCTTTTCGTTTTTATTATTATTATCATTATCATTATTATTATCATTATTTTGTCCCTGGGATTCGAAACGAGCATCAGAAATAAACAACGAAAACCCAACGAAATAAAAACGTAACCCCCCCCCAAAAAAGCAGACTACTACGGAACATGCAAAAAAAGCCACCGAGTGGCTCTCAGACATCACGATAATATTTTAAACACACAGCTTCCCTTAATATCGACGCAGAGGGCTGTCGCTACCAACCCGCCCAGGAAACAACTGGCGAATGACCGATATGAGAGTTGCTTATACAGTTTTCTTTAGGAAGAAAAAAAAAAAAAATCGCTTTGCTTACTTTCTTTTATTTATACGTCCGTTCGCTGTTTTGCTTCGCTTTATTTCAGGAGGTTTTTTTTTTTCCTTTTTTTTTTTTTCCTTTTTTTTTCTTTTTTTTTTCCCATTCTTATTATTTTTTTAGACAGTGAAGGAGGGGGGTGGGGGGTGGGACGCATTCCGGCGGCCCCTCGGTGCGGCAGCCCCCGGCCCGGCTCCCAGCCCGGCCCTTCCCCGCCCTCCCCCCCCTCCCCCAGCTCGACACTTTTTGCTGATCAGCGCCCACAAGACGCCGGGCGATTTATATTAAAAATAAAACTTAAAAAAACAAACAAACAAAAAAACCCAATAAAATAAAAAGGGGAAAGGGGGGAGGATAGGAGGGAGGGCTGAAAGGCTTGGCGGGATGGAGGATGTGGTTTCTTTCAAACAAAGTGCATTGCGAGACTGGTTTGAAATGAGCTGGCGGCTACGGGGAGCCGCTGCGGGATCTGTCCTGCTTGGGGTCGAGGCCGCTGACCAGGCGCTGGATGTTCTGCAGTTCGCTGGTAGCCGCCTCCTTGTCGGCTCCCAGCTTTGGGGACAGGGATACCGAGCCGGAGGAGAGCGTGGATGAGCGGCTGGTGAGGTCCGAGGCGGAGTCCAGAGGCACGGCGCCGGGGCTGGAGGCCAGAGCGCTGCCTTTGGTCTCTCCGGAGGTGGCGGCCAGGGCTCCGGGCAGCGCGGTGGTGAGGAGGCTGCTGCCGTCGGGCAGGGGCACGGGCAACGGGTAGGGGCTGTAGCGGAGCCGGGGTCGCACGGCGTTGAGGAAGGGATGCCGGTGCACAGAACTGGAGGCCGCGCTGGAAGCCGCCGCCGCCGCCGCCATGTAGGTGTAGGGGTAGGGGAAGAGGCTGCCGAAGGGAGACATGGCCAAGCCCTGCGGGAGGGGGAGGAGGGAGAGAAAAAGTGTTAGCAACGCGTGCCCTCTTTCTGCCCTCCTCTCCCCTCCACAACATGAACGACAAAACCGGTCAGGTCCGCTTCGGATCCCTGGAACCTCGAAGGCTCAGCCTGGTCCCGCACCGAGGCTGCCCGGAGTGGGGCACAAGGAGCTGGGGGCTCCACCTGGGCCACTCCTCAGCGGCGAGGCTTCCCCAAAGCCTCACACCCGCCCACCCCCAACCCAATTCCTTATGCAGCGAGGGGAGGTGCCCCGATTGCTTCGGAGGGACACTGGGAAACCTGAGGCAGAAAGAACCTGCCCACTTGGGGCCGTCGGAACGTACCTGAGAGGCCAGGACGTGCTGCTGCAGGTGGAAGGGCAGAGCGGCCGTGGATGCTCCCGAGAGTCCTTGGGCGGCCGCCGTGGCCATCACCGTGCTGTCCAGTCCCGAGCCGCCGGCAGAAGCCCCCGACACTGTGGCGAGCAGCGGACCCATGCCCGCGGCCATGCCGGAGAAAGCCCCCCCCATAGCGAACTGCCCGGGGTGCAGCAGCAGTGGATGCCCGTTTCCCAGAGGGTTGAAAAACTGCTGGCCGGCCAGAGCAGGGGGAAACCCCAGGTTCTGCAAATGTCCCTGGCTCAGGTGCGCCGTGCTGTCGGTCTGGACCGTGAGAGGGGCGAAGGGCTCTTTGCCCAGCAGCCGGTTCTCGTCTACTTTAGGGCCGTCCCGAAGGGGGCTTTTCAGTTCCTCGCCGCTCAAGCCTCCCCCCCGGCTGCTGGAGGAGATGGTGGCCGGGCTGTGCCGGGAGTCCGGAGGGGCTTTTTCCGTCCTCTCCCGGCTCCGACTCGTCGCCGAGTCGCTGGGGAAGAAGTGGCTTTTGGAGGGGCTGCCCCCCTTCTCCCGGGGGTCGTCGCTCGCGGCCGCACCGGAGCTGGCCGGCGCGGGGGTGGTGGCCGTGGTCGTGCTGATTTTGCCCGACTCGCTGGCTTCTAGCAAAGGGTCGTCTTTGCTGTCGGCATCGCTGTCACCCTCGCTGGGACAGAGATCTGCAAGACAAAGGCGGCCCGGGGCTGGGAGCCGGCACGGCGCGTCCCTAACCCCCGCCGGGCTGCTGCAGGGTGCGGACACTCCCTGGCTGGCCGGCAATTCCTACGACAAAGCTGGGGATCGCTTCTTAAGAGAAAAATACGTCCACCCCATCCCCGCCCCGGCTCCCAGCGGGAAGTGAGCATTGGTGTTAGCGCACCGACTCCGCACAGCCCGAGGACCCGAGGCCTGCCGTACCGCTCACGCCGGGGGCGGCAAACCCCGCCCGCCCGCCCCTTCGGGGTTCGTCTCCTATCAACTTTTCCTAACTTTGAAGCCCTTTCGACGGTCGAAAGTTGTAGCCTTCCCCCTCCTCGGCCTCTGTCAAGCTGAGGATCCTCCCTTCTCCTCCTTCCCAAAACGCTTGCCGGATTCCTCTGCACTTCATCTCCTAATTTCAGCGCCCCAGGTGTGAAGATCTGGTTTGCTTTTCGGGTCCCCTCCCAGCTCCCCTCCTCTCGGCTCGGCAGGACTTTAAACAAACGAGTAAAGCAACAACAAAAAAGAGGTTGTTTCCTCCTCCTGCGCTTCCCCCCCCTTTTTTTCCCCCCCCCCCTCTCCCTCCCCGGACAGATTAATACATGTGAAAGAACTGCAGACAGCTTCCAACCCCGCACGGAGAGAAAGAAAAGAGGGGGACTTTTCTATAACAAAGTTCGGGACTGTATCCAGGGGAAAGATCCTTCCTCTAATAACAGATTCAGGGAGGAATATTAATGGAGTGACTCCAGTTTTGAACTTTTGCCCCGTGGTCTGTCTTTGCTCCCTTGACTCCGAGCTGGCTCCTTTCTGAAGCGTGGAGGGGAGGAAGGAGCAGGAGAGGGGCCGGGAGAGAGGGAGGAGGAGAAGAGAAGAAGGAAAGGGAAGAAAGTGCAAGCAGAAAAGAGAAATAAGGAAAGAAGGAAGAAGGGGGAAAAGAGAAAAAGAAGGAGATTGGGAAAGACAAAGCAAAAGAAAGAACAAGAGTGGGAGAAAGGAATGGGAGAAGAGAAAGAAAAGGGAGAAGAGAGAAAGGAAAGAGAAAGCCGAGGGGAGGCAGGAGGAGGGCTGTGGCCACGGCACAGAGATGCACGCCGAGCTCCGTGCCCCCGAGCAGGACTTGGCTGTCCCTACTGCACCTACAGGGCCGGGGCTCAGCGCTCACCTTTGAGGCTGGAGGTGCCGACGGCGGGCACAGCAGGGCAGGAGGACTGGGCGAAGCACTTGAAGGCTGTCTGCTCGTTGGACGATTCATCTGAAGTGGGATTTTCTTTTTTCTGCCTCTCGTCGTACACCCGCATGGACTGCAGGGTCAGCTGCTTCCTGCCGGGCACACGGAGCTGCTGGGAGAGCGGCACCCTGCCCCCCCACCCCAGGCCCCCAGCACCCCATAGGGATGTCCTCTAAGGGGATCCCACGTCCCTTAGAGACCCCATGGGTGGGGTGTGCGGGGGGACAGGGGCCAGGGGCTCGGGGGAACGCGCTGCTCGCAGGCAGAGCCAAGAGCTTGGCTGCTAATGAGAGGAGATTTCTTGGAAGCTGTTAGCAGCAATCCTGAGTACGGCAGATATTAAAGAATAGGAAGGGGGGCTGGGGGGGGTGGCAGAGGGAACCGTTCCCTGGAGATTAGCTTTTAAAACGAGAGGATGTTCCAGAGATATGAGCCATCTTAATGGTTGCTAAGATTGCTAGGAAGTGGTTATTTTGTTAGGCACTTTATGTAATCTTTTCACCAACAATTAACCCGGAGTAAAATCTATTTATATTTAGAGAGAAATTAGAAATCATTTCCGTCCTGTGGCTCCAGCATTGACTTTATTTTCACACTGACGGACAAGAGGAGCTGGTGTGTGTGCATGTGTGGTATGCTGGGCTGAGTGCTGGGCATGGAGAAAGGCCTCTTGTTTAACATTACAACCCCCCTTCTCCCTTTTTTTTTTTTTTTTTTTTTTAAGAAAGAAAAGGAACAGACATATTTATTCATTATCTAAAACTGATTGCAAATGGCTAAAATATCCTGTCTGCTGTAACAAAAAAAAACGACGACTTATTCCACATCAAGATTGGGGGGGGGGAGGAGGGAGAAAAAAAGATCCCTTTCTCTATTTTGGCCAATATTTAAAAAATAAAAAAATCAGGTTCACTATTCAAAGTGGTCTACTGGTGTTACTTCCATATTCCCAGGGTCCTATCAAAGTGGTTTGTTTTTACGTTTCTCCTCCACGCTTTTCAGGAGAGTCAGGAGGAAAATGCTGGGGGAGATCTCAGCTGCCCTCCCTTCTCCCCACTCCATCCCAGCCGCAGCGTGTGGGGGTGAGATATTCCTGCCAGGACCTAAAGGAAAACTCATTGCCCCAGTGGCATTCACCGCCTTTCGCCTTCATCTGCAGCCACCGCTTTCTTGCCGGCCTTCCCGTGCAATGCAAAAAGTAAACGGGGGAAGCACGGAGGAGCCCACGTGCAATCGGTTTGGCGTTATTAACGACGAGATCCTTATTAATTTTGGCGGGGGGAAGTGTGGTTTGTAGGAAACGCGAGGTGATTTTGACCTCTGGTCATGTTCTGAGCCTTGCACACGAAAACCAAACGAGGCGCCCATATATAATGTTTCCAGACTCACCTTTTTTCCCTCCTTCCATTCCCAGTGTCGCGAAAACCTTTGGCAAAGGGGTTGTTGTCAATTTTTAATTGAGTGATCTACAGGGAGAGAAGGAAAAAAGAAAACCAAAAGCGGGGTTGGGGCAGAAAGAAGGAGACTTGGTGAAAGAACAACCGACACGACCTCCTCCTCCCCACTTCCCACCGCCCAGGCAGCAGCAGCCGGTGCACAGGGTGGGATTTTGGGGTGAATCCCTGCGTTTTGGGGCTGGCCGGTGAGTCGGGCAGTGGTGGCAATGAAGGAGCCCCACATCACCGCTGCCGCATCGGCGTTCAGTTAGCCGTGCAACGCGATCCATGCAAGTTATGCCTGCGCTTAAACTCTTTAAATGCCATAATTAAACCGCAAAGGAATCATACCCACCCCCTCGCCATAATAAAATACTTCGTATAATCGCATTATGCCCCGCGCGTGTGCGTGTGCTGGGGCTCTGGGGGTGCCAGGAGCGGGCTGATTTGGGCTGATCTGGGCTGGCAGGGATTTCGGCGGTTGTTTGGGGGATTCTATGGGATCCGGTCTTGCTCCACAATTCTGGAGGAGAGTGGGACCCAGTGAGCAAACAGCTTTGGACTCTGAGCAGCACCGGCTCCCAGGTTCCCCCCTCCAACTCCTCCTGCACATATAGACAAGATAGAGCAGGGAAAACCCTCGACAGAAGAGGTGAGACCCTCAGCTATGCGATCTGAGCAGTGCTCCTGACCTCCACTTCCCATCACCCCCCCCCTCCAACCCCCCTTGTGATATCAGAGCATTTGGCTGGAGCTGCTGCTCCGTGCTTCCAGCTGCGGGCCGGCCGGACAGCCCCGTGTGTAACTCCCAAAGCAAAGTCTGCTCTGCACGCGTTCACCTTTCGTTTTCTTGCAAAAAGGTGAGCAAAGCGAGAGCAGCGCGTGCCAAGCACCGCCAGAGAGGGGATCTGAGGAAAGGAAGGGTGCAGCCCCTCCTTATGCCTGGCTCTGAGCCGTGGGGGATGGCAACGGATGGAGGGACGGAGCGAGCGGGGTCTGCACAGCTCTGCTCTTCAGGCACATGCACACCAAGTTCTAATTTATAGACAGCAAAATAAGAGCCCCTTCTTGGCTCTTTCACTTCCTTCCACTTGACTTAATTATCGTAAATTCGCCTTTTGCCAGGCTCCCAAATGTGCCACCTTCGTTGAGAGCGACAATAAAGCGGCAGAAATGGGGAGGCAGCGTCTGCAGCGCTGCAAACTTTCTCGCCCTGTCTCTGTGAGACCTTCCAGCTCATTTCGAGCGAGATACTCCTCTCTGATCAGAGCATATTTCTGCACCACAAAAAATAATAAAACACTGCAGGATGAAAAAAAATATCATAATATAATAATAATAGGAACCAGACGTGCACTCCAGCCTTATTGCCAATTGCTGTTAAAGGAGCTAAAACAGCACAAAGGCCAGGAAGAATTACAAAATCTCCAGCCACGCTGCTCTCTCCCCCCTGTCTTTCGACACACGGATCAGATTCTTTTTCTGATGCGTCTTAGATTAAATCCACACTGAAAGCAGCGATCCCCACCCCATCCTTCCCCCTTTCTCCACACCGGGGAGCAGAAAAAAATATGTATATCCAAAGCACCCCCCCTTCCCCCCCCTCCCCCCCCCCACACACACATACACACAGCCTTCTTTTTAATTGCCCTGCCCGGGGTCGGCTACGGGGAAAGTGCCTTCCCCCCTCCCCCAGTGCCGTCCCAAAGTCGGAGAGGGAGGATTTGGGGGAAACGAGCTGGGGTAGAGGGGAGCGGGACGAACTCAGTGATCTTTAAGGGAACAATACAGAGCAAAAGCTCTCTGAAAAGCCAAAACACGTAAAACAAATCCTTTCTTAATCTCCTTACCTTATCATTCTGGTATGCGGTCACTGCGATGAATTCAGTCTCCGGGAACACGTAGGTCCGGAACGTGCTGTAGGGAAGCTTGAGAATATCGTTCGCTCGGACGATGTGGAAGCGGGGCTGGTACTTATGCATGGAGTTTAAAATGGTCTGCGGTGCGGAGCGGCCGGGGGGGGGAGGGTGGGGGGAAAAAGAACAGGGTGAGAGCCAGCAGCACCCGCTCGCGCTGCCCCGTGCTTTCTCCTCATCTGCGCACCTCGAGCGCACCGCAAACACACGCACACGCCGCGCAGCATCCAGCACAAAGCACTGACAGCTCCGGCTCTCCCGCTGGACGCCAGCGGAGATCTCCCGCGGGGGGGAGAAGGGGGGGAGGGGTTCTGCGGGAGTTATTTGGGCTTCGGACGCGACGGCTTTAGATTACAAGGCGAACCAAAAGAAAATAAAAATAAAGCGGAGACGGGAGCTACAATAGCAACGCCACCACGAGCGCCTTGGTCAGGTCTAATTGCTCGCCTCAATCCACTTAAGGCCTTCTGCGAGAGGCAAGAGCGGATCGTCTAATCGAATCACGGGCGGCGAATGCAATCTTCGGCGCATTAGAGATCCCCCGACCGCGGCCACCGCCGCAGCCCCGGCTCCAGACTTTCCCAGGAATAGAAAGAAACGGCGAGGAGCGGCGGGCACTTATCAGCAGTTTGTTTGATTTCACTCGCAGGGGGAGCTTTTTATCTCTGCACACCCAGTAAATGTAAAGGAGTGGATAGACATGAATGGGCAACTTGACCTTTGCTTTTGGTTCCTGTTTATTTTCACTCTGGCTTGCTTTACGTTATCCAGATTAATATATATTTAAATGTTTGCATACTTAGGCCTTTAAGCCCTTTATACACATATGCATATCATTTTCCTATGCTTAAAAAGTGTGATCGTCTCTATTAAAAATATATTACATATGTGTATATATATCGAGCCAACGCAGCTCTGAGATATATCGAGTTGCACTATGTTGGAAACGTGTCTCTAAAGTTTATTCTGAACGGTACAGATTGGGTGTTTGGAAAGCTTGCAGAATAAATTCTCTCGTTTAATCCTGACCTCGGCAACAGAAAAAGAAAGGAACGTTTTAACTGGACATAAACACACCAGCCGGCTGCATGCAGGGGCTGTTTATTCCCCATTTTCCACACACGTGTGGTGCCCGAATTGCAGTGCCTGGGAAAGCTCCGGGCCGGGCGCTGCGGGGGAACAGTGCTTGGGGAGAGGGGAAAAGGACTCACAAATCCGTGCTTGTCGGAGATGTTGTTAGTGAGCTTCAGCTTGTGAAAGGTGACGACTTTGGACATCCATTGTTCTCCGGTGGCCGGGCTGTCCGGGTGGATGTACATTCTCTTTGGCATTTCAGGGTCAGCTTTGCCTGCTACCATCCACCGGGAATTATGGAATTTGTATCTACAGTCGTCAGCCGCCACAATATCCATCAATAAAATGTACTTGGCCTTTTTATCCAGTCCAGTGCATCTCACTTTAAACGGAGGAAACATTCTCCTACGGGCAGAGAATGGGAGATAAAGAAAAGACGAGACGAAAGGGGAAAAAAAAAAAAAAGAAAAGAAAAAAAAAAAGAAAGAAAAAGGAAAGAAAGAAAAAAAAGAATCACAGCGTTGCAGTGAGCTCCTAAAGCTTGGTGGCCCTCGGTCCCTCAGAAGCAGAAATCTGCCCCCGCCCCCAGTGCAAAGATTTCTCCAACGCTCCCAAGTTGCAGGAGAACGCCGTCCCTCGGGTGGGACGCAGAACGTACCCCTGGTGGGCACACACCTCTCCGTTCCTAAACAGCAAAGCCTCGTTCAGCCCTCCCGGATCTCTCATTATCTGTAGATATATTCCCCTCTGTTAAACAATAGGAGCAGATCGCGCTCCAATTAAAAATATTCCCCACTTCTACAACCGGCTCCGTCGTTAGAGAGCGGGGGGGGGGCTTCTGTAATTAATCAAAGAGGAGAGGAGCCCACGGTGAGAGCTGCGAGGTCCCGCTCACACCTCTGTGCAGAGGCTCCCTGAGAACCGCGCTCCCCTCCGCTCCCAAGTCCGGCTCCAAACTGCAACAGGATACCACAAATTTGCTGTTTATTATATCGAGCGGTTGGCATTCAGCAAGCCCAGCTTAAAAGGAAACACATGACTTTGCAACACGTAAGAGCGCCTAACATTCGCCGAGGCTTTCGAGCAAAACTTTCTGCTACAATTAAGAGAGAAAACTTGGGGAAGGCAGCGAAGCGGGCCGGGCTGTTTGTTTTTTTCCCCCGCTACTCTCGGGGCTTTCTTTCCCTAAGCCCTCAGCCTGCAGCCGGCGCTGTGCGGGGCTGAAGCCGCAGCACGGCGACCCGAGGCGGCTCTCAGGAGCGGTTTCTCCCCCGGCCGCTCTCCCTGCAGACGGCACGCCGCTCGTTTGCTGCCTTCCCCAGGGCGTGCGTTACAAACACGGCCGAGAGCGAAGGGTTCGCTCGCTGCGTGGCATCACATCCACAGGCAGAGTTATAAACGAGCACCGACGTCGATTGGGAGCGAATATAGAGAGGGATTTCAGATGTGTAAACCTATAAAATGCCGAAATGCGCAGCGCGATACGCGCCGTGTGCGTTCATTCATTCGCACGTGAAGGTTATATAAATACATGGACACGCAGCGCGCTCCTGCAGGAGCTGCAAACCCTGCCTTACAGCAGAGCGGGTGCTTTTCGCCGCTTTTTCTGCATTTCCAGACGTAATTAGTCAGCAGAAATGCATGCCTGTATCAAGGCAGAGACACAGGCACAAGCGAGGCAGCTGATAAACAGAATCTCCCTGCCCTCCTGCAGCTACCACCTCACCAGCAGAGATACGTCGCTACAAATATTTTTTGCTACATTTCCCCTTCTCTCCATGAAAGAAGAAATACCGCGTGCAGCAAGGCTGCAATCAGGCCGGCGCCTTTTCCAGCCCCAAATTATTTTCTTTCTGCTCCCAGAAAGTATTAAGCTGCTGAACCATGAAGAGCCCCTCTCGCCCCCTGCGCACGCACCGAGAGCGGCCGGTTCGAGGTTCAATAGTTGAGCCTTTCCCCGAGTGCGCTGCCCTCAGCGGGGCTTAGCAGTTGCCTCACACTTTTCCTAATTCCTGATGAAATGAGCTCGATGGAGGCAGTGCCGGACACAGCCTTGCTCCGGAGCAGGCTGCCGGTGCAAAGACCGAAGAGGGAGGGAGCCCGAAAACCCAAGCACGATCCCCATCCCACACCTACCTTCCCGATTTGGTGATCACCATCTCCGTGCCTCTTTTATGGAATTGTTCCCAAAGCTCTTTGGCTTCCAGGTGCACTTTCGGGTCGTCTTCCACTTCTTCTTCTGGCTCCAGAGTTTTTAAAGGCCTCAGATGGGCTGCTGCCTGGTGGCCCAGGGAAGAAAAAGGGATAGCAGTCTCTGCAGCCCCCACTAGCTGATCCATAATGGGCTTAGCCAGGGCCCCGGGGAGGGAGAGGGCGGCCGCCCCGTTGGGGGGCAAAGCCAGGGCCGGGAAAAAAGGGGGCTGATGTCCCAGCACGGCGCTCATGGCAAAGTCCGGTGCCCGGTGAGGTAAAAAAGGATGATAAGCCATGCTTGTCCCAGGGATCACTGGATCTCTCATCGGTATATTCATCCACTCCACTCCTCGATCTTCCTACTGCTGGAGTAGTCCTGGAGTGGTTTCTAACAGCACATCATGGAGAAGAAAAATTAAGATAATAACAATAACAACGAGAAAGCACCAAAAAGAAAAAAAAAATAGGGTGGGGGGAAACAAGCTCTAAACAGCACAGTACATGGGGGAGACGCAGAACTTCTACAGCCTACAACTTCCCGAGCCGGGGCACATCCTCGGCCCTCGGGACAGCAGGGTAACAGGATTGTTCATTATTCGTCTTGCTTTCTGTGTTGTTGTTCTCTCTCTGCGGCTCTTTTTCCCCGGGTTGAAGTCCTTGCGCTTGAAAAGCAATGCCGAAGAAGGGGAGAAAAAAATCCACCGGGTTCGCTGCGTGCTCCCGTTGCCGCGGAAGGGCTGGACAAGCCGAGATCCTTTTTTTCCTCTTCTTTTTTTTTTCTCGTGCTCTCAGTCCCTCTTTTCTTCCGTCGCGGAGGGTGGCGGCTGGAAGCCGGGCTCGCTTTTTGGGTCGGCTGTGTTCCCCCCCCTCCCCCCCACCCCTCCACCTTTCCTCCGTACGGGCAGGCTGCAGAGCAGAGGCTGGGGAGGGAGGGAAAGCAGAGAGAAGCGAACAAACCCACCCCCCCTCGCCGAGCGGGGAAGGCTCCTCAGCAACCTTCAGGCAGCGGCAGCAGCAAAACTTGTAGGGAAATCTCGTTTCCGCCTCGCCTTCCCCCGCTCCGAGCAGGAGCTGGTCACAGCGCCCTGATTTCCATCAGGATCTCTTCTTTCTTTTACCCTCCTCCTATTTTTTTTTCCTTCCCCTTCTCTTTCTCTTTCACTCTGCCTTAAAAAAAAATGTATATAAATAAATATAAAAGAAAAAGAAAAAAAGAAAATAAATCTGAAAGAATGATACTCTTGTCTCCTCTCCAGCAATGCTCCAGCAAAGGAGAGAGGGAGGAAGAGAGAGGGAAAGAGAGAAAAAGGAGGAGAAGGAGGGGAGAAAGAGAGAAAGAGAAGGAGAGAGGAGAGGGAGAGAAGGAGCCTCTCAGCTCTGAGAATTCCCTGTGAGTCTGTGCTCTGCGTGCACCAGATTGTATGGATGTGTTGTGGGTTACAAGGGAGCTGGAGCCTCCTTGATTGGCTCTTTGACGCTTTCGGACCAATTGTGTGGCTCCATAGGCGTGGTTTTGACAGGTCGAGTGGAAGGGGGACAGAGCCGAGTTATAAAAAGAAGGTGTCGGAAACTGTAACGCTGCAGCAAAGCATCACTAGTACTCCGTGCCGTGTGAATATGTCAACATGATCAGAGGGGAGGGAGCAGGCGGCACCGGGCCGGGCGGCCGGGAGCCGCCTCTAGGGGGGGTTCTCGGGGCCGCCTCGCCCCCCGCCCGGCCCCTCCGTGCCCGGATTGCGGCCCCGGCCCTGGCGAGATGGCAGCTGGGCGCTGCCGGCGCTCGGTAGGAGCTCCCGCCGCTGCGGCTCCAGGCAGAGCTGGAGAGGCGGCGGGGGCGGATCGGGTGGGGGGGTGGGCAATGGAGGCGGCCTCCAGGCAGGGTGAACAGGGGGTCCAGCCCCGGGTGCCCCCACCACACCTCAGCCACACCGAGCGGAGGTCTGGCTCGGCCCGTGGGGGTGGCCGGTGGGGGAAGGCGGCCGCGGGAACCTCGGTGTGCTCCCCCCACCAAGCTCCCCCAGAGCCCCCGGGGCTCCGGAGCCCCTTGGGCCGCACACCCGTCCCCTCTGCGTCGCTCCTTTCGCCGGTTCCTGCTGCCCCTCCGCCTCCGACTCGGTGCCCTTCCCCCCCCCCCCCCCCCGCCCCTCCGGAAAGTCGCTGCCTTTTAATGCAGAAAACAGCTCCAGGCCTGACCTCGGGCCGTTCCCATCCCGACCCCCCCCCGTATCCGGGACCGAGACCAGGGGGTGGGAAGCGGTTCGGGGGAGGCTCGGCTGTGCGCTTCGGCCCGGCTCGCGGGGTGATGGCTGCTGGCAGCCGGGGGCCGCGCTCCTCTCAGCCCCGGCCCGGCGGCTGCTGATCGCCTGCGGACGTTAGAGCACCTTCCTCCCCACCATCCCCAACTGGGAGGGGCTACAAAATTTAAAAAAATAAAATAGGACTTGAAATATATGTTAAAAAGAAAACATTAAAAGGGGGTTATTTCTTTCTATGCAGATGGGAGGAGTGCGGCCGCTCGGCTGGCCCCGGAGCCGAGAGGGTTAACGCTCCCACACCCCTCCTCTTCCATGAGGTGCACGGGGAGGAGACGGGAAGTGCGGCTTTCCCCGCGGCCGGGCCGCGGTGCGGGGCAGCGGCGGGCGGGGGGCCCAGGCCCGATCCCCCCTCTCGATCCCTCTCCCCGCGGGGCAGCCCCACGCGTGGGTTCCCGTCTGCCCCGATCCGCCTGCCGAGTTTCTGGGGAAACGTGTTCCCGGGGCGGGGAGTGGGGGGTGGGTGACAGTGCGGGGCCAGCGAGTCGGGGCTCGTGCGAGTGTCGGCGTGTGCGGGGAGTGCGCGTCCGTGGGCGCGCGTCTGCGGGTGGTCGTGAGTGTCGGGTGGGGGCGTGGGTGCGCAGGACACGCGCGTTTCGGGAGGTGCCAGGAGGTGCCTGATCTCCCCGCTCCCAACGTCGTGCCTTAAAAGAGGGGTTGATAATCCTACGGGAGGGGAGCGGGGAGAGCTGCCTGCGCGCAGATGGGAGCGGAACCTCTAAAGTGATTAGCTCTTCTAGCATTGCATTTTTGACGCACATGGTTAAGAGCGCTTGGCGCCAGCTTGGTGAAGTCCCTGTAGTAACCAGCGTCTAGGATCGCTTTGCATTCACCAAAATATCTCCCCTTCGGTCGGGGGTGGGGGTGGAAAGGAGAAGGGAGGAGGAGGGAGGAAAGGAAGCGGGAGTAATGCATTCAAAGAAGATGTAGGGAAAAGACAAGGGCGGGGGTGGGGGGGGAAGCGTGATGTATTTCAAGGAACCGAGAGCTTAGCTGCCCGCGCAGCGCTCGCCTCGGCTGCTGAGCGGAGGGAGCGAGAATTCTCGAGCGCTCTGCTCGGAACCAGGGCCTGGGCTCCTGCCTGCAGTCGCAACGGGAACCCCGGAACCTTCCCTTTGCGGAACCCACAACAAACGCCCGAATAAGCTGTTGTATGTTGGCGGAACGGCTCGGAGAAACTTGGCCGCAATTTGCCCCAAGCAGGCCTCAGCTGTCTGCCAGGGACCGGGAGGTGCCCTCGGGCTCTCGCAGGACAAGCGCAGCCGCTCCCAGAGCCGCCTCGCCCCGCTCCCCGCGCCCGCCCCGCCGGTACGCGCCCTCGGGGCCGCGGTGGAGGCCGGAGCCGTTGGTGCCCTCCGCGCCCGCCCCGCACTTTGCGCAGAGCTCGGCGGCCCGCGGAGGGAAATGAAGCGTTCGCTGCTTATGATTTCCAATGTCAGCGTCTGGCTGATGGCGTGCAAACTTCCGCCAGTTCCGAGTGACCTCCCCGACGAAGCCCCCTGGAGACTCGTATTATGAAGGGAGGCTGCACTAATCTAAGATCAAAAGCGGGAAGGTGCGAACAGTCTTTGTCTCCCTTCGACCGCCTCGTTCCCCCTCCTGTGTGTGATAAATCTACCCTGGCGCCGACTGCGTGCTGGATGATTAATTTGCAAGCAAACAAAAGGGGACCTGATGGCCAGCCATCTTAGTTAAATATTGGCCAGTGGTTCCAGCTACTTGTTAGCCGCCTCTTTCCCAGAAATAAATAAATAAGCAACGCGCGGAAATAAATAAATAAGGAAGCCAGCAAAAAAGAAGAGCGAGAGGGGAGGAAAGAGAGCAAGGAAAAAAAAAAAAAAAAAAAAAAAAAGATCAGAGAGAAGGGCCGGGAGCAGAGCGGAGGTGGGAACGGGGCTGTGGCGGGGGGAGGCCGGGTGATAGCACGCCGAGATAGCCGCCTGCCCCCGGCCCGTCTGCAGGCCGCGCTGCGCCAAGGCCGACACTATCTTGGCGCTTCAAAGAGCTCTGAAAGGTCCCCGCTGGCTCCCCGGCCCGCGGCTCTCTAATCTCGGAGCGCAGGAGCCAAAGGCCGGGGCGGGGGGAGCGGCTCGTCGGGTCCGCAGCACCCCTGGCCACTTCCCGAGCCAGAAACATCGCTGCTTTTTCCCTGGTTCAATGCAGGCCGGAGGGAAAGCAGAGCAGTCCTGGTTGCTGAGCGGCTGCGAGAGCTCCGCTCGCTCAGATTTCGCCCTCCTAAGCAACTTTTTAGCGTTTGCACGAGGGATCGGGGCGTGCGGTAAGCCTCTCCCGGTAGCCCGAAGAGCCAGCTGGAGGGAGAAGGCAGGAGGAAAAGAATGGCAGCGCGACTGCGGAGCCCACACATCCTCTCCCAAGCCTGTGGGAGCCACTCCGAGGCGTGTGTGCGTGCTATGAGCACTGTATGCGTGCAGGGAGGCTCCGTGGGTGTGCGCGCCCCGGGGAGGGGGGGCCGTGAGCTGAGTGCACCGCAAATCCGTGATCCAGCAGCGAAAGCCGGGGAGTCTCCTTGCACCCCTGCGTGCAGGGCTGACAAAGGTGCTCGTGGGTGCTGTGCAGGAGGGAGCGGGGCCAGCACGCACTGCAGCCCCACACACCGCACCGCTGGGACTTCCGTCCTCTCGATGCGTTTCCCTGTGGCACTGCAGGTCCGAGCATCCCTCTCCTCCCAGGCACCTCCATCTCCTCCAGCCGCAACCTCCGCCCGGCCCCCAGCCCTCGGAAAGCAACACGCAGCCGCGGCCGGTCTATGTTTATCCCAAATAAAATGCAGCGGGCTCGTTTACTTTGGCAGCTTTGCCGTAAATACTCGGGGGGCGGCGATGACGCGCAGATTCTGAGCGCTGTTCCTCCAGAGAAAGGTGTCAGGAGCCGGGGCCGGTGCTGGCGCTGCTCCGTCCCAGAGTGGCACTGCAGGCCTCGGGCACAATGAAATGGGTCCCTATAGGGCGAGTCTGTACATTCAGACCTCATGAACTGCTGCGGGGGAGGGAAGGGGGTCACCGCGGCAGCTCCTTGCCTTCCCTTCCGCAGAGCTCTTCCTGCAGTCACCGGCTGAATTTTAGCTAAAGCCTGACCTGAACGCTTTGCAAAATAACCTGCCCGGGTCCAGAGGAGTATGGTAAGGGATTAGAAATACAAACTGGAAAAAAAAAAAAAACGACAACAATAAAATACAATCCGATGCACATTTCTCTTTGGCCAGGCCACCGGTCCTCTTTCCTGGGACTTACAGGACTGGACAGAGCTGGAGATACTTTTACATACACCTCCTCGGGGCACCAGAAAAAAACACAAGTGAAGAGAGTGGCTGGAGAAAGGTTCTCATCCTCCAGCCGTGTCCGGGGTGTGTCCCTGCAGGAAAGGCTGCAGTGTCCCGGCACGGCCCAGCACAGCATGGCACGGCCCGGCCCGGATCGGCACACGGCCTGGCTCCTGTTCACGGCCAAATCAACAGCCAGCAGGGACACCAGGGTGCTGTATAATTTTGGAGCCCTCCCAAACACCGTAACTACTCACATCCCTGCAGCAAGACCCGCTGTCACTTGGTCCCCATCTCCAAACAGCTCAGGCGCTCTCCAGCCCCATCCATTTTACCTCGGATGAGAGAAGAAAACCAGAGGGCACTCAGAGGCGAATCCCCACCCCAGAGCACCCCCTCACCTTCGAGCCCGGGCTGCCCTTTCCCCCAGCCTTGATCCTGCAGTATGCTCTTAGAGGAGGTGCAATTAAAGCCCTGCTCCCTCTCCCTCCCCTCCCCTCCGATCTTTCTGCTTCCACCACCGCTGGCTAAGCAGAAATTCTAAATAGAGTTCGCTATTTGGATAAAGATTTTTTATTTTTTTTTTAATAAGCAGGCATACACATACAGTTTGCCGCTCAGGAAGTAGAACTAATTGTCGTTTCCTACAGTCAAACAGATCTATCTTTTCAATGCTGTCTTTGTGTGTCTGCATGCGAGAGAGAAAGAGGGAACGAGTGGATACGTTTATTCAATTATTTAAACGCACAAACAACAAAACAACAATCCCGAGGAGGGACGAGCCTTCCCGAAGGAGCCCTCCAGCTCTCCAGATGCGGCATTCCCCCCTCACCCCCGCCCGCTCCCTGCAGACCCAGTAGAACAAGGCACCCGGCGAGAGAAACCGATTTTATCTGCTTTGACCATCGGCCGTGTTCTTTAACAACTCAGCCCCGGCGCTGGAACCTTGCCCACCTCCCCCGGGGTCTCATCCGACCCTCCGCCCCTCGGTCACCCCCGAGGCACCGGCGGGCGCCGGCTGCAGAGGAGCACGGAGGGAAACCGGGAGCCTCCGGCACCGGCGCTGCCACACTTCGCTCCCATTTTCTTCGAGATGCCACGGAGCCACCAGGCGATCGATTGATACCTCGGCCCGGGGGAGAAAGGGAGGGAGGGGGGGTGGGAGAACCAGCTGTTGCAAAAGGACATGGTAAATCTAATAGGGGCTACTGTCAATAGAGAAATGACAGAGAAGAAGAATTGGCTTCTTAAAGTCTGCTGAACTAACACTCATCATGTAGCCGCGGACACGTATTCTCAATCGGATCCTGGTATCCATTACTATTTTCCTTACTAGGTTTCAATTAAAGAGAGATCTAACCCCTCTTCCCTCTCCCTCCCCCCCCACTTCCCCGCACGCCCCCCAGCAGGAGATAAATGACAGAAGAGGGGAGGCATCGGACACGTCCTGTCTGCACGCCACGTTTGTCACCAAAGCCGAGCTGCCGCCGTGCCCCAGCCAATTCCCCCGGCCGGCCAGGGCTCGCTCCCTGCGGTGATCGCGGTGCAACGGCCCCAAGAGTCGCTCTTCTCGCCGTCTAATTCCGCTCCTCATGTTCCTTTTTCTCTTTTCCCATTTTGTTTAACCCCTCTCGTCTCCTGACGGACGGAGAAGCTCCGAGCGGGGCGGCTGCGGGTGGCTGCTCTCGCAGGGGACCTTCGGGGTGACACCGCCGCAGTAACCGCATGTCACTTGTTCCCTCTCGAGTGACGTTAAAAGCGCAAACTTCGCGGCACCGAAAACACACACACACAAAACAATTTAAAAATCTGCCGATTTTCTACGGGAGGAGGGAAGAGCTTCATTTATTTTCAGTGCCCAACTGAGGGGCTTTGGAGGCACTTGGAAACAGTTTTTCTTCCTCTGTCTGACCCCAGGTAGCCCCGAAGCCTCAGCACATCCATCAGGGGGCTGCAAAAGGCACCGAAATGCGCCAGCCCAGCCCTGGGAAACTTAGAGATGGCAGAGAATTTCCCCGCACAACTTAGTCACTGCGGCCAGCCTAAAGGTGACATCCGACGTGCAGGGGAGGGAGGGAGAAGGAGCTGCGGGCTGCATCCCAGCGGCGCTCCAAAAGGTGATACTGGACGAGGAAAGTCTTCTCATGCTCCCCCACCTCTTTCCAGATCTCAGTGCTGCCAGAGGACAAATCCCTGGGGCCAGCAGCCCGATCCCAGCACCTCGCTGCCTTCGGGGCTTCGGGCAGTCCCACTGGCAGCCCAGTCGCTTCTGCACGTCGGGGAAAAGCTCATTTCTCTGCAGACACAGGGATGGGACCCAGCGAAACCCTCCGGAGATGTTCTCTGTGAGGAGCAGAACGAGCTGGGAACGTTTTTTATAAAAGGGCTCTTCTCCGTCTTTAGGGCTTGGGAAGTTTTTTGTAGCTCCGTTTTATTTCAGTTTAGAATTTTGAACAAACTTTGGATTGATTTCCGGAAGGCGCAAATGCTCACACATGGGAAAAGTGAATAAACCGGTCCTTCGAGGTCACCTGGGAGGGGGAGACGAGATCTGTACCCCCTTCCAAAATAAAATAAAATAAAAGTAACAGGAGGGGAAAGATCTCATGCTTTTGTAGTTTAAAACTACTTGGAGTGATTTGCTTTTAATGGCACACTTGGCTGCAGGAAAGAGCGGCTCTGCTTTCGATCTCGCGCTCGCTCCTCGCTTTCCTGTAGGTGTGTGCGGACATACGTATGCTTTGCAGCCCCCACCTGACGGCTCTCCCCGTCACCCCACCCTCCCCGGACCCGCAGCACATCGCAGGCCACGCTCTCCCGCCGCTGTGTCTTCTGCCGGGATCCAGAAGCACAGGCACAGCCGACTCCTATACCGGCATTTCTCCGGAGCAGCGGGGGTGTTGTGAACACTTATTAAACCCAGATGATCCGAGAGTTGGGGCATACGGAAAAGATTTCCAATTAAAGCCGAGAGCAGCCAGTTTCGTGTCGCAGGTGTAAAAAATATTTGTGCAGCTCTCGCTCCTCATCCCGAAGCGGATCCTTCCCCCTGCTGGATCCCTCTGGGAGGAGAAGGGAAGGGGTCGTTTCTCGTTCCGGGCCCCACTCGCCTCTCGCCGGGTTCCCCACATCGCTCGGTGCGCACTCGGGAGGCTCTGTGCCTGCAGCCCCCAGCCCCGAACATCCTTCCCTCCGCTCACCTGTTGCTGCAACCGCTTCCGTAAAGGCAGGAACTAAAAGGAAAATACAATAGCTCCGGTCTCGGAAAGCGGCGGCGGTGTAAAGTGTTGTGGTAACACGGGAGGTGGGGTGGGATGGCACGCGGGGACAGTGGGCATCACTGTGGACTGCTGGCTACGCGTTCCCGCTTGGAAGAACTGCTTTCTCACAACTTTGATGCCGGATTTAGGGGGATCTGGGAGCCCACATGCAACTGGGAGTTTGTTTCCCAGTTCGCCGAGAGCGTTCGGGTTCATGAAGAACCTCGGGGGCCGTGGGAGCGGACCCCAGACTGCTCCTGACTCGTTAGCGAGACCGGGCACGCTCGCTTTGGAAGTTTCCAGTTTAAATAACGGAGAAAGCATTCACGTATACTTTACCCACGCTTTCTTTAAATACCATTAGGACAATTGTCTCGATCCGAGGTCAGGGAAAAATCCTGTTCGGTGGAGACAAGAGGCCGACAGGGTGGCAGGGTGGCTCTGGGAGCGAATCGGTGGGAGCGCCGTGCGGGCAGCTCACCTCCCGCAAAGCACGGGCGCGGTTGGTGCCTGCCGCCGCTCTCGGAGCCGCTCGCCCTGCCCCGGGGCAGGTTATGGGAGGCACAGCCCGCACAGCCCCTGACCGTCCATCCCCGGCAGCGAAGTGAGCAGAGCGGATTGCGAAAGATTGTGCACACTGGGATGTGGAGGGGGGTCGAGAGAGGGGGTGGAAGGAAGAAAACAGAAGAAAAGCCCGTCCCAAAGAGCTGAAGTGGGCAGAGTATTACATGTACAAACATCCAAACAAGATTGGAGCGGTACAAAGCGTCGGAAAATCCAGAGCAGCCACATAAAAAGAAAAGTTAAGTAGGAAGTGGTGTAAAAGCGTTGTCGTTTATTTCGCCTTCCCTTCCAGATGTTCTGCATAAAGCTCTATCTGCAGGGAGGAGGGAGCTCGCCCGGCAGAACCGAGCTGATGGAGCGGGTGCCGGGGGCTGCCCGGGGCTGCTCGGAGCTGCGGCCACCGGATGGCGCAGCCACCGCCCGCTGTCACCTGCGGGACCCGCGTTCACCTGCTGGTGGCCCTGGGCCCTCCCGAGTGCTGTCGGGGTAGCAGAGGTTGGTGCGGGCACGGCGCAGCACCGGCCCGGCCCCGGCGTTTTTGCACCGGGTTTTGCACGGGACCGAGGGACTCGGGGAGTTCAGCTGCGGGCAATAGGAGTTTGGCCGTCAGGCTCTGCTGCTTAGGACAGGGAGGAAACCCCTGAGCTCCGAAGCTCGTCTCGAGGGAGTAATAACGCGCTGGGGAGAGAGAAGCGCGGAGAAGGGTTTAAAGGCTGGAAAGAGGAAGATCGAGCTTTCTGGAACAGCTGTGCTGAAAGTATCAGGCGGAGCCCCTTGAACTTAGGGCTGGAGGGAGGTGGGTGAGAACTAATATCTCAGGTGACATAAGAAGGGAGCAAACATCCTGCCAAAACTGCGTCTCGTCCTGCGCCGCCCCCTCCCCCTAAATACAGCGTCCACCCCTCGTCAATTCTCAGGCAAATAAATCCAAAGGCAGGTCTCGCTGTCACCGGCCAGCAAGAAAAAATTAAAAACTCGCTTTTCATGAGCGCTGCCCGCCCTGGCAAGAGCAGGGAAGCAGCCCAGAGCCCCGGACAGGTGCCTTCAGGTGCGCTCCTTCCCTCGCTAACGAACCTGCAATCCCAGCCCGCCAGAAAGCGCTAAGGACAGTAGCAGAGTTTAAGCCCAGAGAAAAGCCTGTTTGCTGCTTTATTAGCGTTGAGTCTACTCTAATTACGAGAAATCGCTGCTCTCGGTCCGAAACGACGTGTTGTCTTGTGCTTGTAAAATACATTTCAAATAACTCTTCTCTGTCTATAAAATACAGTGGGCGGAATATAAATAAACCGCTGTCCATTTGTTTAATGCTATTTTAGCCAAATTGACTGGCCGGATTGGAATTCGACATAAAAGCTTTAAGTTTGCAAAACATCCGCACTGCAACGTCTGGGAGACAGGGCTCGCTCTGCAGCGCGATGGGCACGTTAACTGCATTAAAACCTCTCCATACATTTTCTAGCTTTTGCTTTTCTTTCCCTTTCGCAGCACATCCACCCGCTCTCCCCGCCTCCGGGCGCCCGCGCCTGTTTTTCTCCAAATGAAGTATTTTACGTGATCGATGGAAGGAGTCATTTGGCCCATAATTAGGTCAATAAAATCAATGTTTATTCCTCGGATGGCCTGAAAGCTAATAAATTCCTCTTTTATATTCGCCTCCCTCCGAAGATTAGAAACGAGCTGCCCGGCCCCAGCGTCACAGCGAAGCGCGGAGCCACCCCCGATCGGCGACCGTCGCCCCGCACCCGGCGGCCTCAGGAACCCCCCCGAAGGCTGAGCCCTTTCTGCACCAACCCACTCCACCCCGGTGCTGTTTGTTTTCCAGCTCGGGACGTTTCACAGCGAATTCAGATTCGCTCTAAATCCCCTCCAACGCGCGCTCACCGCCTGTCTCGCAGATCACTTCATTTCACTTGATTCCCTTTGGAGTTCCTAAGGGGGAAAAAAAAAAAAAAAAAAAGAGGAGAGAGAAGGAGCGAGGCTTTTCACGAACACCAAAGGGATGTTTGGAGACGACTTGGAGAAATCCTATAAGAGATCGGGAAAGCGAGGCTTTTTAAAAAAGGTGGAAAAAGGAAAGCCACATTTTTTTTTTTATTATTTTGAACTCAGTAACAGCGAGGGAAAAGCACCCCGGTCCTAATCAGATCAATATAGAGACACGCAAATCTTTGCAAAGGTTCAGCAGTTTACAGTGGGTTCCAGACCTTTGACATACATTGCGGATTAATTGGGCACTGTTAAGGGGGGGGCGGGGCGGGGGTGAGGATGGGGGTGGGGAGGTGGGATTCCAGTTAATTAGTCGAGAAATGAATAAAAACTAAACATTATCGGAATTGTCTGCGGGTCCCGGTTTGTTAGTGGGGATTTGGGGATCAGCTTTTGTGCGCCGTAAATTGGATCTGAGTAGCGTGGTGCTGTCTTACACTGCCGTTTTGTGAACTGGCGACAGCTCGAGTCCATGGGAAAACTTAAAGGGAACCTGGGGCCGGTCACGGAGCCTCATTATCTCATGTCGGATACCATCTTTAGAGGAGAGCGTGTAATCAGCGGTGGCACACTACCAGCCCCTCGCAACCTGCGCGAAGCCCACCTCCTTCCGCACACGCCCCGCGGTCGGGAGATGCCGGTCCCGGACCCAAATGCAAAGAAACCGACCCCAGCCCGATGAGGGGAGGCCGCGCTCCGAGCTGGGAGGCCGAGAGCCCCCCTGCAGCCTCCCCCGTGCTCGTAGCTAAAAGTTCGGTCTCCGCGTCGCCCCCTCGGCTGACCCCCGCCCCGCATTCTTGGACGGGGAGGGCAGGCGGCGGCTGCTGAATGGCCGCGTTCTGCCAGTCGGTGCCCCCCAGGGTGGGGGTTAGCGGGGCCCTGCCGGGCTGTCAGCTCCGCTGGAAGGAGGCAGACGGGGAGTTTCCCTTCGCACTCAGCAAGGTGAATTCCCAAGCAGCCGCCCGCCCTCCGCAGCCTGCCCCGAAGGTTCTCGGTTGGCGGGAAAGGGAAAGAAGGGGAAAAAAAAAAAACAACAAAAAGAGATTGAAAGGAACGGGAGAACATGGAGAGCAGCTTCTCTCGGCCGCCGAGGTGGATTCTTTACGGGGGAAACACCTAGAGCACTGAGCCGAAAGTACCCCCGGCACCCCTTCCCTCCGGCCGCACATCCTCCCACCCCCCGGAGCGTTGCCGGGGAGCAGAGAGGGGGAGCCCTCAGCCCACGGGAACTCCCCCGGCTGGGTCTCCCAGCTTACAATTGGTGCTGGGACAACCGAGAGGACGGATGGACGGGATCGACAAACCCTCCGCTTCCCGTTTCCGCAGCTTTTTGGTGGGGAAGAGAGCGGAACGCATCCACTCCGTGCCCCAGAGATCCGCCGCCTTCCCAGGGCTCTGCTGTCGGGCTGGAGCCACCCGCGGGGCCGAGGACACCCAGGGCAGCCGCGCGGCCGGCCGGGCAACAGCTCGCCCCGGGCCGGTAATTGGGCGGGCTTAAAATCAACCCCGTTAACAAGCCTGCTGTCCTCCTCACCCCACCCCCGCGTGTGAAACATTGTCATTAGGCGTCTAATATCTCCGGCGCTTCCAGGGGGGAATGGGAAGAGGTTGCTTGGGGAAAATAAAAAAGAAAAAGAAACAAAAAAAAAACCCCTCAACGACAATAGAAAGTGTGTGAACTCCCAGCGCCCGTATGCACAGCACAATGCAAAGCGGGTTAATATCAGTTAGCAGTTCTGCAGTGACCTGTAAAGTTGCCTCTTTGGAAAGATTCTTGATGTATTACTTAACATGGCTACACAGTTATCTGTCTCGGC